ACCACACAGCCAACTGGCCCAATCTTCTTTGGAAGACATTCTTGGGGGCTGCCCCATTCAAATTGTTTTGCTTAATTAAACTCCACTAAATTAAGCTGTCTGAAGTATTTTTTTTTAACAAGGTAAAATTTGAAAGAAAATTTCTTGGGCTTTGTTTTCCACCTTCAGTATAGCAAGTAACAGAGGAATTTAAAAGCCAAATCTTATATTCTTTTTATGTTAACTGTTATAAAGCAAAAATTACAGAACTTTTTTTCAACTGAGGACCTTACATTCTTTTGCCAGTTAAATGTTTCTTCTGCAAACATCCAGACAGAAATTAAGTCTACAGCTTAAGAACTTGGCTCTGGATTTGCAGAGCAAACTCAACAAAGCCAAAGTCGATGTGGCTAAGATTGTTGCTACACACATGATGGCACCAGAATTTTCTTTGTGATCAAGGATATTCTAATAATAATATAAAGTCATGAGGAGATATATGGTCAGAAAAAAAAAGAATCTAGGACTTGCACAGGGCAAAAGGGATTACGTGGGGTCCTCTGTGTGCATGGAGGTGGATGTTACTTAGCAGAGCCTGAGGATTACCGGACCTTGCAGGGGTGTGCTCCTGTGACTGACTTTCTATGGAGGAGGGTATTTTATAATTCTACAGGTGTAGCTGTTAAGTTATGGGAAACTGCTAGCAATGCAAATGATTTCTGTCCTTAGAATGCAAATGATTCCGGTATATTTCAGTGTACATTAAAAATATTGAGTTGAGAATGTAAATTTTTGCAAGTCAATTTTGTTTATTGAACCAATCCTAACATCTTTTGGGTTTCTTTATGAATTCATAAGCCCAGTGAAATCTTTGACATGTGTCCATTTTACAGCCATAAAGAAAGAGATTCACAAGTTCATCCGCATTAAATTAAGAATTCCGTTCATTGAAAGTCGTCATTGTATTCTGTTGTGTTCACCAGAAGAAAGTGAAAAGAATACTCATCAGCAGTAAAAATAAACAAACATAGATAAATGTCAGTCTCCTTATTCTATTATTAATTATGGCAAGATGCATATGGTATAATTCAATTCAAAAGTCATGGAAGCAATCTGTTTAAATTTGTGTATTTCCTCAAAAATATTAATAAAGAATTTTAAAATTTAAGTTGAAGCATAGAAGCTGAAATATTAACATTAAATATCTCTAGGCCCAATGTAATCCATGATTTTTATTTTCTTCTTCTCATTTGTCTATTTCATTTTTTAAAAAATTAAATTTATTTATTTATTTTCCATGAATGAGAGCCAAAGAAAGACAGCACCCCCAACAGGGGGCTGATGTCACAGTCCTCCTCAGCTTCAGCTGGCCTTGGGTCACGGCCAAGTGTGTGTCTGGCATACTCAAGGAGGTCTCAACATCTGAACCAGGGGCCTTCCCATGTGGAACGGGCTGCCTGATAAAACAGAGCACCCTGTTTTATCACTATGTCACTTTCCAGCCCCTATTGTACAAAATTTTAAGAATAAACATGTTTCACTTTGGCAACAAAGAAAACAAGCAATTAAATCAAAGAAAATATCTCTGATGCATATATTAGACAAAGAATTAATGTCCAAGCCTACAAATTAATAAAAAGGTAAATGGACCCAGCCTGGTGGCATAATCAGTAGCAAACTAAATGGCAGTACTGGGACCTGTGTGGCTGACCACAGATTTGGACCTCTGGATTGGCCTGAAAACACACCGGACACATGCATGTCCCTGATCCTGAGGAGCTGGGACAAAGGGATGGTGGCATTACAACACCCTGTTCCAACATTTAGTATTTGTTGTTCACTGTAAGTGTGTTACATGTATTATCACATTTAATTCTTTTGACAATCTTCTAAGATATGTACTAGTTTCTTGCCATTTACAGTCGAAGAAACTGATACTAAGAGAGATCAGATAACTTGCCTATCATCGCTAAGATATTAAAGTGTAGAACTGAAATTGGAACCCTGGAATTTGACTCTGGAGTCTGCTACTGTGTAGGCAGTTAGTAGAAATGAGTGGTTATCCTTAAGAAAATAGCTGAAAGACACACGTCACATCAATCACAACTTATCAGGAGTTACAACTAGACCCTCTACGAAAATACCTTCTTCCCACCCAGCTGCTGGCACCAGGAATGCAAGGCAGATCTCATTTTTCTTCTTTAGTACCTGAGAAAGGCACATAGGGACAGTTGTTAATTTCCCTCTTGTCATTCCTCAGAAATACACAACCCAACAAGGATCTAAGAAGACATTTTAGTCAACATCCTGATTCCTACTGGGGCAGTAAACTGATTGGGCAGTTCATCCAAATAAGGATGCTCATACCATATAAATCCACACTGAGCATGCAGGATTAGGTAAATTTCTCACCTGTGAGAGAGATACTCAAGTGCAGGAAAAAGTCTGTGAATTCAAACAAAGAAGCCAGATACTATGACAGACCTTCCCCAGGTAAATGTTCATTACTAACTCTTAGAATAAATGTAACACCTAACTCCACACTCAATGCAGTTGTCCTTCCTCGGAAGCTGCCTGCCTGCATGCCTTTCAGACTTCTATTAAAAATCTCAGTTTCTTATTAAAACTTCCCTTTTCCTACCTTACAAGTGTTTGTGGTTTTTATTTTGCATCTCAGGATGGGTCTCTACTCTTAGAGATCCAGACCTTAAAAAAAAAAAAAGGATTTTACACTCCACAGCTCAACTCTCTCCCATTCTCCCATCCTATGACACTGTACTGCACAATACAACCAACAATCTTAGGAAAAGATGTTAGACCTACTGCCAACCAGGGAATTACAAATAAAACAAATGAAAAAAGTTACCATTTTTTATCTAGAAATAGATAGAAATATAAGAGAGGTTGAAATAGATAAACACATCAAGTTTTGGTGAAGATGAAAGGTCTAGATTGGTATTACTACTTGGAAAAGTAATTTGGGAGTATCTAGTAAATTGAAAGTTTCATTGACTCTACAGTCAGCCAAGTTTACTTGTACACAGAAACCTTAAAAAATAATACTTGTATATGGAGAAATACCCAAAGACATTTGTTGCAGAATTGTTTGAATACTGAAAAAATGGAAATAAAAATGGAAATAAATATTGAACAATGGAATTAGATAAAGAAAAATATTTAGATGCTTGTGTTGAGTCTGCTAATTATTATGAAATTTTTTATTGAGTATTAAAAACATTTTGAAATAAGAAAAAAAAGAGAATGAACTTGACCTATAATTTCAAATTAGTAGATATTGTTTCAAATGAGTAAATATTGAAAACATGATGTTGAGTTAAAATTTTTCCAGGGTCACACAAATATCATGATACCATTAAAAACTTTAAACACATACAAGCACAATTCTTTCTTCTTTCCTTTCTTTCTTTCTCTCTTTCTTTCTTCTTGTAGAGAGAGATTTTTGCTATAGGGCGCATGTGCTCACTGGAGAGATAGAGAGACAGAAAGCAAGAAATCACCCCCACCCCACCCCCAGTGAGGATGGGTATGCTGCAATCCCTTTTATTCCATTCTCCTCTCAGGATTTGGGGCTCGTGTGTACACATATACCCAGTGTAAGGCGCACACACCTGGCATGAGGTTTAAGCCACCAGTCCAGAATTTAAACTGTGTTCAACTACGTGGGAGTCCAGCGATATAACCACTTTGCCATCTGTTGGTCTCCAGACAAGCACAATTTTATATATTGCTCTTAGACACTAATGTATGTAATCAAATATTTAAAAACAAAATGAATGGACTTTAGTTTAATAATAATGATTGATTCAAGATAATTGGATATCTTCAAAGGGCATTTCAATTTTATGTGCCATTTTATTATTCAATCCTTTTTTTAAATTTTAAATTTTTTTTTTTTTTTTGGTGGGGGGTTTTTGCTATAGGGCGCATGTGCTCACCAGAAAGACAGAGAGAGAGACAGAGAGAGAGAAAGCAAGAAATCACCCCTCGGGGGGATGGCCACGCCACAATCCCTTCTCCTCTATTCTCCTTTCCGGATCTTGGGCATGCACACACGCCCCCGGTGTGAGTTTAAGCCACCGTATCCAAGACTCGAACTACGGTCGACTATGTGGGAGTCCAGCAACATAGCCATTACGTCAACTACTGCTCCCTCAATCCTTTTCTTTAAAAATAAAGATAAAAAGACTTGGACTCAATATGGCAAAATCATGAGTATTTATTTGGGGTGGAGAAACTAAGTCTTCTTTAAATATTATTTTCTATAATATCTCTCTGTCTCCATATCTCTATCACTTTGTCTTGATCAGTCTATCTATCTACAAATATATACAAATAGATACTGAGATAAAGATATGCATAACACATTTTTTCCCATGAAATACATACACACATACATATATTTCCTAAAATAGAACACATATACATATATATATATATATATTTCTTAAAATAAAAGTGAAATTTAAAAACGTAAATTTTAAACTGACTAGGTAAGAATCAATTTTACAAACTGTTCCCAGATTAAACTAATTATTAGCGATATTATCACACAGGTATGTATGGAATAATTCTAGTTCAGATTCCATAGTAGCTAGTGCAAAAAGGATTGCTAAATATTACTTGTAAGTGCTTGTCAGACAGCAATTCCAGACTGTATTTCAGCATAATCTGCCTACTCTTTTTGTCCTTTTCACCACAAATTCCAACACACTGTAGAAAGGCAAGCATGCATGTTATACCACAATAAAACAATGACCGGGAATCGCAGGATACAGTCTTTGTAGAGAAATCCTTTGCCTTTGATACTCAAGTAAGTCTTGTGCTATGGGAGCTGAAATTTTTCCAGAGGGTTAGCTATCAGTTTAAGGGTGCCTAGACAGTCTCTGGGTGGCTCAACAACCCCAAGAATACTCACATGGTTCAGAACTGCTGTACGTTTATGACACCAAATTGATCCTAAAACAGTCTGCCCAAAGCTGTGGACAACTCTGAAACATCGGTCATTGAGCTGTCCCCGTGACTGTAAATACTTTCAGAAAGGCCCTCTTTACATCCTTGTTCCTGAGACTGTAGATGATGGGGTTGAGGAAGGCAGAGACAACATTGTAGAACAGGGCCAGCTTCTTGTCCCGCTCTGGGTCATACCAGGAGCCGGGTCTCATGTACATCATCATACATGGTCCATAGAACATGATGACCGTGGTGATGTGAGAAGCACATGTGGAGAGGGATTTGAATCTCCCCTGAGATGAGCGGATTCTTAAGATGGAGGCAAAGATGCGGATGTAAGAGGCCAGGATGAGGGAGAGTGGGACCAAAAGCAGAAGGAAACCCAAGACGAAGTCCAAGTGGTCATTGAGGGACGTGTCTGCACAGGCCAACTTTAGGACAGCAGGAACTTCACAGAAGAAGTGGTTAATCTCATAGGGACCACAGTAAGGCAGACGCATGGTGAAAATGGTGTAGACCAGGGATCCGGCTATGCTAATGGACCCACAGACTGTGACCATCTTGATACAACAAGGACGGCTCATGAGCAGGGTATAGTGAAGAGGAAAGCAAACGGCTACATACCTGTCATAGGCCATAACGGCATAGAGGACACACTCAGCAATGCCCAGCACCAAGAAGATGAACATCTGGGCCACACAAGCTCCCCAGGAGATGGTCCTCCTTGGCCACACCATATTAACCAACATCTGGGGCACAGTGGTGGTGACATAGCTCATGTCCACCAAGGAGAGGACACTGAGAAAGAAGTACATGGGCGTGTGGAGACGGGAGTCCAGGTAGATCAGGGTGACAATGAGTCCATTGCCCAGAAGGGTGACGAGGTAGAGGAGAAGGAAGAAGAGAAAGAGGGCTATTCTGACCTGTGACTCACTGGAGAAGCCAAGGAGGATGAACTCAGATACAGAGCTGTTGCTTTGCATGGTGATCTGCATATTAAGGAGAGACAAGGATTTTCCTCTCTGTCCTTGGCCCTGAGGAAAAGAAGACGAAGTTAACACACCATGCTACACATGGTAGCATGCTGGAATTTGATCAAGCATTTGTTGTTGCATTGTGTGAAAAGGGAAAGAATACTAGGGAAGCTGTGACACTGAGCCGTGAGTCAGAAGACCTGGATTCTACCTGGAATGGAACATAAGATGCCTGACTGCCCAAAAGACCCATCGCAGACAAGGCCTTAGGCAACCATATTTGTAGCAGGGGACTCAACCAACTTCTAGCCACTGCTGAGTTCTTCCAGGGACATAATCTGGCATAAGCAGAAGCCTCTGCTGAGAATTTAAAATGATGACACTGGAAGTTGTCAGTGGGCTGTGGGTACTTGGGGGTACTGTCAGCTGAGAGCTTGTGAGGTGACAACAGAGTTACAGGGAAGTTGAAGCTGTAGAGGAAGAGAAAAGTAGAGGCCTTACAGGAATGTTAAAAGAAGATGGAATACTACTCAGCCATAAAAAAATGACAAGACCCTGGCATTTGATATAAAGTGGTCAGATATGGAGGATCTATTGCTAAGCGAAGTAAGCCAGGATATGAAAGAAAAATATTGTATGTATCCACTTAATATAGACTAATTATCCACACTTCGTGGTAGAGATCGAAATATCGGAGGGCATAAAAGCAGTGAAAATAGTTAGCGATGATAAGACAGTGTAGAACAGGGTGAGAGAAGAGAAGAGTTTGCAGTAGGATAGCAAGAGAATAAATAGAGAGGCACGTTAGTGGACACAGAAATGGTTTATTACCTGTTGATGATGACGTGTATAGTATCCTCAACTGGACAGGTCTGAGAAGTATTTCATGTTGGGTAAAGTCTTTTTCCAAGCAAAATGAGAAATAGTGATTGAATGTTTTAAAAAAATAATTGCAATAATAATGATAATAACCTGAAAAAAATGAAAAACTGTGAGATGATGATGGGAATATTCATGTCTTTGTGTTGACTGATGTGAATGGCATTCCTTCTGGAAAAAGAATAATACACTGTAAAGTTATATGTGATTCAATGTAATATAAACAAGATTATGATAATAATAATTTTTTTTTTTTAAAAGAAGACTTCACAGCTCTGAGAGAGTGACCCTGGCTCCTGGCTTGCTACTCCCAGTTACCTGGAAGCCTCACTGGGCTGTTTCCTGTACTTGAGTATATGTGGTATTTTCTTGAATCCTTAAAATAATCACCTGAGAGCACATTTAAAGTTCAGCTTTTCCTGCGTGTTCTGTATTTGTCACTTACCCAGCTGTGTGACCCTGGGCAAGTTCCTTTATCTCCATTTGCCTCAGTCTCCCCCATCTGTTAAACAGAGACCAAATGTCCACGGCACAGGGTTATGGCAAAGAGCATGTAACATACCAATAATAAGATATTTTGCAAAGTATAAAACTGGAAGCAAGTAAGAGGGGTTAGTATGAATGAAAGGAGTCTGAAAACAGAAGTGCTGGGGACTGTCCTGGTTTGCCCTTGATTTGTTGTGCAGTCTTGGGTAACACTATCGCTCTCTCTGAGGCTCACAACACCACTTATTGAATGAAACTATTGGACTTGACTATACCAAAATGTCCTTTGGGCTTTGATCTTTTTCAATTTCAAGAATATAAGGCTGAGAGCTGTGGTTGCTGTGGTGCCTTGAGCACCAAGAAAAGGGCTGAACAGAGCTGTTGGCAGGAGTTCTATTCCTGAAGGTGGAGACCCACGAGGAGAGCAGTGGAGAGCACAGAGAATGCAGACTCAGGAACCTGGTATACTCCACTTACTCCATGCCACATAGCTTCTCCAAGTAGCACATTGCTAATCTGTAAATTAAGACAATATCTCCTCTGTCATGGAGATTGTATAAGATAGATTTGGTTGATAGAAAATGCTCAGTAAAAGGTAGCAATTTAGAAGGGTGGTAGGAGGAGTGGAGAGAGGAAAGAGGAAGTTCATTCTTGAGCCCCAGAGGTTCTGGAGGACTGGGCCCAAAACATAATTGTGAGGACGGGGCCAGGATTTAATGGTGGGTTCTGGGGATGGAACAGGTGCTCGAAGCTAAATGGACAGATGAAGATGGCATTAGGTGTGTGTTCTGAGCTTTAAGGATGACTAATACTTGGACAAAGGAGGAAAATGTCCTACATAAAGAACGTTCATGAAGGTAAGAGGAGACTCAGAGCAGCTCAGGGTCTTGGTCACCAAGAGGGGAGACTTTCCAGAGGTAAGGAGTGGCAGCAGTGCAGATGACAAACCCTGACGCTGAGATGATGGGGGCTCAGAACCAGGAAGCGCCCACCTCCTCCTTCTCACCAACCCACAGCCTAGACCTGACTTGTAAGGCCTCCCCTCCCAGTGTGTCCACCAGCAGACACTGTTTGATCTAGCTGCCCTCCTTTCGTCCCTTAGACTGGAATTCAAGGCCATTCCCAATTTGGTTCTAATCAGTAGTCAAGTCTGTGTGATTCCCCAGTACCTCAGTGAGACTTCTTAGCCAGAACTACCAACAGGATCCTTATCTGGGCACCTGTGATCCCCTCCTTTCAGAGCTCCAGGTCTTCAAAACCAGCGGATTTTCCCAGTGCCTTCAGTATGTTCCTATGGCCCTGGTTTCTGCTGTTCCTCTGCTGGAAATGCCTACCCCGATAAAGTCTGCTTCCTCATAACCCACCAGCCTTCCAGCTCCGTCTCAGACTCTCCTCCTTTTCTGAGCATTCTGGCCCTGTTACTTCATGTATTTATCGTCTTCCCATGTAGGCTGCTGGCAGAGTCTGTGTCTCTCTTAGATCTCCCCACTGTATCTAGGGCAAGGATGGCACCTGTGCAAGGCTCGACAAAACCTGAGACTCGTGATTGTGTTGGTGCTTGGGGAAAGAGACAGAAGAGTCCTTCCAGCTAAACTGCAGTAGGAATCGACAGACTGGTTTGGGAGCCCTACTCCAGTGCTAGCTTTCTCTACCTTAAAGCCAGGTGCTGCTCTGCCTTCTCCAATACTCGTAAGTGGCAGGACCAGAACTAAAATCTGAGTCTCTGGCTGCACAGCCTGCCAGACTCTTAACCATTGCACACTACAACCTCTTGCAAAGGCACACGTACAAAAGCAATTACATCAAGCCCACATACTAGGAGTACTCTATATTCATATTCACTCTTCTTTCTCCACCTGCCAGTGTTCCAATGCCCCTCAAAGCCTTTGCACTCTGGCAGGGAAAACAGAAAAGGATGCCTTGTTGAGAGCTCCCTAGTGAGAACCTCAGGATACATTTTGGATGGGGAATGGGCATTTGAGAGTCTGGACATGGCCATGAAAGGGAGCTGGAGGTTGACTCCCAGTCAGTAAGGGCGGGTACTCCTTCTGTCTTCCCCAGTTAGTGGGCAGAGTAGATGGGGATGGGACTTCTTTGTTTATTCTTGGAGGTGTCGTAGGAGGAAAACTCCTTTACCCTGCCCTCAGACCTACTTACCAGCGACCAGCTTGTTCTTCTACTAGAAGAGCCTCTTTCACTCACTCCTCAAGCATCATCAGCCTGTTTCCTCTTGGCTTTAAGCATGCTAGAACGTAGTCGTCCTCTTCTTTTTAGCACAGAGGCTCTACAGAGGAGACCTATCTCTCTCTTAAGTGTGGGTCACAGAGCAGCTCTGGAGGGAGGAGCTCCAGCTAGCAAACCCAGGGGTGCTCATTGTGTCAGAATGGAGATGGAGAGTGAATTGTCAGCCCCTGAAGAGCTCCGGAGATTTTTTTGTCCATGCTGGTAAATGCAGCACAGAGCCTCTGGGCCAGCTGGAAGACACAGCCAAGAATCTTAATGCTCCCAAGAGAGTTAGGGCTTGGCCCTGGAAGCTGGTGAGTTGGGCATCCTACCAAAGTTTCTATCTGGGGACCGAATCCCAGTGAGACTTAAAAGAGGGAGGAGTGCTGTGGCTGAGCTCCCACATCCCTGTGTGACACACTGATCATACTAATACGACGTGCTTTGTTTCCTTCCGAAGCAATTTTGAGTGCCTTTGACAACCTCAGGCATATTATTCAAGGCCATGCACCCACATAGAGGAAAGCTTAGATATAGATAATACAGATGTTAATCATACTTACCAATGTCATCATAACTACCAGTTATTGAAGACCTAGTAATATCCTCAGGTACCTAGCCAAGACCACACACCTCACTGTGGTCTACATGCTACCAAACATACTTCTGTAACAACAACTACCTATTAGAGAACACCTCCTCTTATCAGATGCTACAATTGGCTCTATGCATAATGTAATCAATTCTTGCAAGAATGGCGTAAGCCACTTGGCAATCATAGAGTTTAAGGGTTAAGTTACTACTTCACACCCCACCCCGCCCTCCAACCCACCCGACCCCTGCACATAAATTGTATAGCCCAGATAAGAACCTTTATTGGTCAGATTCTTTTTTTTTTTTTTTTGGAGAGGTTTTTGCTATAGGGTGCATGCGCTCGCCAGACAGACAGAGAGAGACATAGAGACAGAAAGCGAGAAATCACCCCCCAGGGGGGATGGTCACGCTGCAATCCCTTCTCCTCCATTCTCCTCTTGGGATCTTGGGCACGCATGCACACGCGCCCGGCATGAGTTTTAAGCCACCGGGTCCGGAATGTGAACCGTGGTCAACTATGTGGGAGTCCAGCGACATAGCCATTACGCTAACTGCTGGTTCCCATTGGTCAGATTCTTAATTGTTCTCCTTTAGTGTTTCTATGGCCAAGATGCAATGTTAGTTTACAAAGTGTATGTCATCAGACCGAAGAGAGTTTATAAGACTGGGCATAGGATTCTAGAGGTAAAAGGGCCGGGGCGGGTATGTAGTCTTCCTCTGACCCACTTTGAGGGACTCTCCCTGAGTGCTCTCTAGGGTCCTCTTTGAATTTTGAGGGAGAAAAGCAGAAGACTGGCTTGGCCTTACTACCTGCTGCAGGTGAGGGCTTATTGAGAAGG